TGAACATGATTACAACAAAGTAATTTCCTTTTGTCAGATACAGACTTTCAGTAATAGTGTTCTCTTAGCTTAATAAAGTTAAGCACCACTTACAATCGGCACTTCATTTTGCTTCTTTCTATTATATAGAATGGTGGTTGTTCAGTTCTTATAGCAGCCATCTGCGTAGGTGTTCATTTGTACTCTCCCACTGTGTGGGTACTCTGTCTAATTCCCAAGCTTCTAGCTTTATAATAGTTTCACAAAATGCTGTTTGAATTTTTATAAGCCAGTTTTCATTATCATTAGTTAAATGTTCCAAAGCTTTATACTGCCCAATATGGTTCTATTTTGACTCATGTTTGTATGCATTGATAATGTCTCTGTGCTGTAATTTTAGTGTTACAATATCCACTGGAAAAACTTGTTGTATAAGAAAGTTGAAAGTTATAATAAATTATAAGGCTGTAATTTATTCTATAATCTTCCTTTTCCCCTCCAAATTAAAAAAAAATTACAGATATATTTCAAAATCATTATACAATTTTCATTTAAAAGTTTGAATCTTTTTCAAAGCAGTTGCAAAATTTGTGGATGTTAAAGATATCCTAATGGGTAATGCATAATCTAATAAATTGAAACATTCTGACACAGGCTTGTCACTGTCTAAGACCCCTTGTTGTTGTGAGTTCCTGTAGTTCAGCCTCAGACAAAAGAGAAGGATGTGACGGAATGGTATTCTGTCATTTTTTTCTGTATTACTTTGCCCTCCTCTCTCAAGTGAATTCAGCCATTATTACCCCTTTGCTTAGAGCCTGTTAGAGCACTCCACAATAGAAGGTCCCCCTTGTGTTCCTCAAACATGTCGTGTTCCCTTGCAGAGGCATATTTGGAAGAGCAATTAGGCATTGTTGCTTGTAGAAGAAAGCAAGACATCTAATAGTATTCTATGCTTACATGAGGCCCTCCTTCTCAGGATCCCAGAACGTTTTAGAACTATTCATTAAATTTATAGCCTAACTGAAGCATGTACTTTCCACATGTATATTATAGCTGTGGTGCGGATGATTAAACAGAGTCCTGTAAGGAAAAAGCAAAGTTATATGTTACGTGAATTTTCTTTATAAAAAACACAAGTAAGTGGCAGAAATGGAGAGCAGTTATCATGGTTTTTGATATTTTTCTGTAGTTTAAAATTCAGGCATTTGGAAGAAGGAATCATATTTTCCTTACTTATTCACTGTTGAGGGAAGAGTTGCTTTAAAATGTATTACTGTACAAAATGTACTATAGCCTTTTAAAACTTCTACTTGAAATACTTACAAAACAAAGAAAAATCAGAATTAAAACACTCTTTTCTTCTGTGGCTATAGATTAGCCATTTAATAATTTAGTTTTCCCACCCTATATTAATGGAATGATGAAAAAATAAGTCATCCCTAAAATAGAGAAAAAATACCTCCAAAAATATTCAGGGACTTTTCTTATTTTTAAGTTTTTGTCATTTAAACTATATATTAAATAGTAATGAAATTTTTTAGTCTAAAGTTTGAAACAAAAACACATCTATCTTAATTTTTTTTAATTAAAAAGAATTATAAAATAAGTTCCTAAGTACTTGCCAGAAATATTTTGAAGCAATAATCTAAATTCTTAAATGTCTTGTCATTTGACTATCATATCTCAGGCAAAAATTTCCTTATTTGCAGTGCAAAAAAACTTGCACTTTCAGTAGATTCAAAATAACTCCCCAGAACTCAAGGTGGTATTACAAAGAGTAGAGAAGAATTTCCTTTGTCAGATGGCAAGACTATATAAGGCTGCAAAATCCTTTGGAGCTAGAGTCTGAGCTTTCTTCATGAATGCCACAACTTCAGCTGAGGAATTATTTTATCAACCATTACGTACTGTGCATCTGAAAAAAAGTAGTGGAATCAGAAGAAATAAAGTTGTCTGGATGAATCTGGATGGAAAAAATACTTCTTTATCTCTGCTTACTAACTCATTCTGTGACCGTAGCATAAATTCCCTTGAACAGCACTTCCTAATTTCTTTAATGCTGAATATCAATTTCTGCTAGAGAATGGTGCCTAATTTTTTTCACATTTCAGAACATTACAGTTGCTTTGCTTAAAATCCATGGTAGAAATTCCATTCCAATTAGGTCAAAGAGAGTTCTGTCACTGCAGTCAAAATTTCACTTTATGCACTTTATTTAAATATCTGAACATCAGGCAATCTTCAACTTTGCCTCTGGCAATGGGCACTATGTAGTTTATTCTGAGGTAAGAGGTTCTGTTCAGACTGACTCTCCAGTGGCCTGTTTTTCATCAAGTGCAAACGATTGTAAGAATTTCTGTAAGTCAGTGTAAGATTTTTTTCTGGATTCAGTACATGCTCACTAATATAAAAAACCCTGCATGAGCCTGAGCCTGAGCCTAATTAATTCAACGATCTGCAAACTCCATGAATCTTATCATGGCAACAGCAACAGACGATGCTTCTGAAATTTACATCCTCTAGAGTGCACTTAATAGAATCAGAACAGTCACAGGGAAGAATACCCAGTTAAGGAATTTGTTTCTACTAGTAATTGATTTGAGTATGTTTCTTTCCATTTGCAGACAGCGTGGTCAGAAAAAGAGTGTTTTCTTACTGAACTCTAGATTTGTCCTGAAATATGTACAAGATGATCATATAAATAAGAAGCGGCTTCAAGGAGGAATTAAGGAACAACTTTAATACTGTTAAGGCTGGGGTTTTGCACAAGACAATTTATGTAAATAGCTTCAGGAAGAATGATGGGCCCTTTGAAAATGCATGTGGAACTAGGTATTACAGAAATTCAAATGCCTTGAGATACAGTGAAAAACCCAGGGGTCTTTGTGAGGTATTTTATAATTCAACTGAATTTTTATTTTGGTCCTTCTAATTAATTCTTAAGGTTTAGTTCATAATGAGAAAGCAAGATATGCTTTTTATTTATTTTTTCACTGCTATCTGAAAATGACTAGGACTGCATCCAAATTTTAAAGTACCAATGAACCAAATATACTTTTTTATCTTAGAATCAACTCAAAAAAAGTGCAGATGGCATCACCAATAAATGACTGTCACGGACCAAGATCTTTTCTATGCAAATGACTAATGCATCACTACAATTCTGTCAGAGCAACAGCAAGAGGCTGCCAAAAAAAAATCATATCATAATCAGTGAGTGTTCCTGATTGTTCACTGTTTGTAGCACATATGGATCCTCTGAAATACAGAACACCTACCTAAAAGAAATACTCAAATCATTATGCATCATGAACTTTTGCATGTGTTTAGAATGCTTTAAGGAAACTATTTGGTCTACAATAAACAGACATATTTCCCCAGTGTCAATACAGCAATAGCTGTGTTAGAAAAAAGAAACAACAAAAACACACACACACACAAAAACCACACAAAAAACAAACACACAACACATTACAATCTATGCTTTAATTTACAAAGCAATAACCACGACACAGTTGGAAACTGAGCTGTCTCAAGCTTTTCTCATTGAAATGTATCTATATTATGAAAAGTAGATACATAATAAACATATGGGGAACAGGAAGGCAGAAGGGTTGAATAATTATATCAATAAAACTTTTTATTGTATTATATTTACTGTAGAACATAGCTGACTTCTAAAAATCTGGTGTCCAGCATGAGAGCTGGCCAGACACCAATGTCTTTAGGATAATCAAAAATACATCATTTTGCATAAAGCACAGAAGTTAAATAGAAACAAGATATCAAGAAACTGCATGTAGAGCAAACCAACTCAAAGGGAAATAAAGTCACAGAATCTTTGAAAGGTGGCGAGAATGAAATAAGAGAAAATCTAGTTCTGTTGAAAACCACTGACAAATTTGGAAAAGGTTCAATGCAAAGATTGGATAAAATTAGATTATTCTCCTTTAAAATGGAAATACATTCTTAAATCAAATTTTTTCTATGAAGCCGTGTAGCACTGTGAGAAGAGCTTGACACTGTTCCTTTCAAATTGGCACAGTTGCAAAATAGGTGGATTTGAATGAAGAATGAGCTCAGAGACACTCTCTCAACATTAAAACTCTATTGCAAAGATTATACTCCAGAAAACTATTTCAGGCAAAAAAGGCTTGCTTTTGTAAGGTTACACGTCTTAAGAGGGAAGCATCTACAGCTGGAAGAACTCACATACCTCAAAAGTTCAAATAAGTTTACTGTACATTAGATGTCCTCTTGTAACAAAGAGCATTGCCCTCTTAATTGTGTTATAATTTGAATCATCTGAAGATTTCTGTCATTAAGGACTTTTTAGTCAGCCAGGCCTCTGAAGTGGAAGAGAATTTAAAGCTAGATTAGACTCCTACCATCATTTTGTCTGATGCAACCTACTTAACTAATAGCACACTCTTTAAAAGGTTATCCCAACTTTCTTCAAATATCTGAAGTTATAAAAAGGTTCTTTGCTCTTTGCTCCAGTCGTGTTGTCATGGTCAGTGTGTAATTTATATCTTGTCTGAATATGTCTAGATTTTCATTTTTCTGAAATAAAATTTCATATACTGAGTCATGCTGAATTTTATTTTGTTAGAGCAAAACATCACCTATTTTTTTTTCAATTAATATACTTCTACATGCTTAAAAAAACCCTCCTTTTTATCTGCTTTTAAATAAACAAACCAGATACAGCAACTCACATCCTGATGGAGGATGATTCTGTAGCTCAACCTGTTCTGCTGCTTGAATTTTTGCCTTCCATAAATTTATAAAAAATGAATCCCTGCAACTTGTCTTCTACTCATGCCTTAACTATCTGTATGTAATTAAATTGTCTTTGTATTCATCTCACCTGATGTTACTCAATATAACAATATGTATCTATTTTGAGCTGGTCAGGGCTCCCCTGACAGTTAAAGGAGAAGGAAAAGCAATATTACAATGTTATTCATACTATTTTAAGAAGGATGATTCACCATCTGGAATATTTGTATCTCTCCTAGGTGTAGAGGAACCCAGACTGATGGTTAGAAATCCACCTTTCAGGCAGCTGCAGTAGGTGAAAAGATTCCCAAGTACATGGTAAGTTATTTCCAGTCCTTCACATGAGACTTGAATTGACAAATAAATCCTATAGATATAAGTTATGGGGAAAGACTCATTTTTGAGATTTCAGTTTTAACCACTTTGTAGGTCTGGCACCTAAATAATTCTACATACTCCAAGCAATTTGTAGTTAGGAAGATGGGGCACTTTACTCAAAAACACACATGTGTTTTTGAAATTTGTGAGTCTATTTCTTCCAAGATATATGCAAAATAACTGTTCAAACCCTTCACAACATAGAATTATCTATCAATCTTTTCATAACTTAGTTTGCCACCAGGAAAACAGAGTCATTTTCTCATTGTTTCTTCCATTTCTTTTAAAGCTGTATTCTTTCACTTAGTATATAATCTATTTTGAGCTATGGCCATGTCTTCACTCTGTTTCTGTGGCACCTGAAGTTTCTGGTCTATAGATGACACTACAATGCAAATAATTCCTGTCTATAGTCTTTGCCTTTTCTGACTTTGACATTCACTTTTTTTACTTCATCTAGAGCAAAATAACTACAATTGTTTTTTGATTAGAGCAACCTGCTTACCCAAATGTCTTAGTAATGTTCCTCTTTATATGCAAGTGCATAGGTTGCATTAATATCAGCTTCTTAGAGTAGATGAGCAAAACAACAATCAAAAGTTCTGCTCTGACCATGTCTTGCACTCAAACACTTGCATTACCCCGCCTCTTTCACCAAATTTCATTTGTACACCTGCAATTGTGCATTGTTAATTTTACTCATCAATCAGAGAACTTCCTTGTAGAATAGATTTTGGTCCTTATGGAAATGAGAAAAGCAAATTTTGCTTTGAGTCCTGGCAACCAGGTTTAATTGTCAAAGTTCTCATGTAAGCCAGGGTGGGATCAGAGTGGATCTGTAAGCTTTCAGGGCATTGTGATAGACAAAAAAAAAAAAGTAAACACAAAATATTTCTAGCATAACCAGTGCTGAATGCTTTAATTTCTTAAAAATTAATCTGGAAAGATTCCCAGATCATACATCTGTCATGCTAATTTACAGAGGCTGAAGTCTGAGAGAGAAGGATTGAAGAAAATTAGTGTTTCTCTTTAACAGTACCACCTCCTGCCCTGCTCCCCTTCTCCCCCTTTCCCCCACACAGGTTTCCTCGTTACCTGGCAAGTTTAAGCATAAATACCTGTATTCTAGATAGAATTTGCTGTATGCTGATAGGTGCTATCATCTGTCCACCTGTCCAACATTTTTCTTATGCACTGTCTGACATCTCATGGGCTAATATTTGTAGTTAGAATCTGTGGTAAAGATGGAACAGGAGGCAATATATTTAATCCAGACTACAACCTTGGTAATTTCTTTTATTATATCTTCTATAGTTTTGGGCTTTTTTTCTTTCATTTAAAATGCAGCTGTGGTACAGTAAATGACAAGTCATCCTCAGTCATCTTGAAATTACCACAATTCAGCTCTGATCTTATTTTCACAGATTCTATGTCAAATATGAGCTGTTCTTCTGGCTTCTTCTGTAGCCAGAATCAGACCTGAAGTTTTAGATATATAAAGATCCTTCTTGTCCATAGAAGCTGCTGGAAAGTTTTTTCCTTTCATCATTATTCAATCTGGTTTGTGGCAATTTCGTTTAAAAAGACGCATGCATTTTTCAGTTTGCAGATATTTTTGTTTTTAAACATAAATTTATACTTAGAAAAGAGGTGGTAGTTACTGAGACAGATGCAATAATTGCTATGATGCTACAAAAATATTCTAACTTCTACTACAAACTATACTAATGTTTCATTGTAACACCAAATTAATTACATTGCATTGATGGACATATAAATTGGATTTTTGTGTTGTAGTGTTGTCAGTTCATCAGTTACAAAAATAACAAAAATGAGGATGTGTGAGAAGTTTAGAGGTTCAATAGTCAATTCAGTCTTCTGATTTTAATCATTCATAATCCAGTTCTTAAGAAGGCTTAAACTGCTAAGTCAAATTCTTCTTTTTCTTTTTGTATTATTACAATTTCTTATAATATTTCGATAACACAAGTTGCAAAACTAATGTGAATCAAAGAGCTCTCATTTTAAAACAGTGAGTTGTGTTAGAGCTTTAGATTTGACCAATTTTCTGGGCTTTGTGGTATTATCTGTGTAATACTACAACAGAAGGATATTTTTTTTCAATTTAATTAAGTCACTTAGAAAACTACACTCTCTGTTTTTATCAGGCATCTTTGGACAAACCTGAAGACAATTCTAGTTCTGATGTCTCTGGCTCAAGAACTGCAGCTTCAAAGGGGACAAGTTGGCCTCTGTAGAATGATTTGATAAAACCAAATTATTTTCAAGTGTCTATGCTTCCTATATAAGCAATATGTATATATCTATAAATACATATATAAACCCCACACACTGAGTGCTGCCAACAGTCACTATGAATGAAATGCAGTGAGAACAAGCAAACTTGGTTACTGTCTTATGCTTAACCATTTTGTTACACTACCCCTTTTTTTATTTTCACAGATGTACCATTTCCCTTTCATGATGAATTCCCTTTAGTCATGCACATTAAGAGAATATAAGAATCTGGACACTTAATTCAATAGCTGTATTCCTGAAATTCCAGTTAAATCTCATGTAGTAAAGGAATTTGTATTTCAGAGATGCTGCAAATCTGGCCATGAACTTCCTTTGTACTTACAGCTCCATTTTATAAATTTCAGCCTACACCACATTTAATAACAATGAGCTTGTTACTTATGCATGTGCTTTGAGAGATTTCAGCCTGGTACATGCTGGCATACTGGACTGGATTCACATAGATCTCACTGTTGCTATCCTCTAACCAAGAGGTTGTAGACCTGACTACAGCAATGGAACGCCTGATCTTAGTTTCCCCCAATTTCTGGTCAACCCTTCTGTTTTGAAAAACTGATATCTTAGTGAGTGCAATTAAATGAGAATCGACATCAGTGAGAGAATTCTCAGTTGTATCAAAATATTCTGAGTAGTCACTAGATAGAGAGCCATTTTAGATGGCATTTCAACATGGTCAACACTTAACTTGCCTTTTATTTACTATTAATTTCTGTCTGTAGAATAAAACCATGCTGAAGGTTTGGGGATGTACTTTAGCAGTTCTAAATGTTAGGAAAATCCCAGCATTATTATTCAGCTAGAATTATAAACCACACAATCAAATAGAACCATTACAGTTTTAATGTTGCTTTGTGAGTATTTTAATAAAACATATGGCCACAGAAAAAAACATACATGAATAAAAATACAAAAGACCCATGTTTTCATTACCAATAGAATGACTGAATGTATGTTTGCAATGTTCTTCTTTTATGTAACTTTACTTGGCAACAGAGGTAATATTTATAGTAAAGTCTATCACCGCTTATTAATGTTATACATTGGAGTATTTTGCTGCTTCAAAAAATGAGATGTTAAAATATGCTGAAACTTTCTAAAAGAAAACAAGAAAAATAATACAAGAATTTATTAATTGCGTTTCACTGTTTAAAGGTTAAAGGATGATAAACCATTGAATGACGCAATGTAAATATATTGATTTCATCTATCTTAATCATCAGAAGCCTTTATAAAGCCTTTAATGAAGCCTGATGGGAATACTTTGTTTATTTTAAAATTGCTAAATATAATTTCCATATTTTCTTCATAATTTATATAAAAGCAGAGGAGTAAGCAATTCATTAGTGATACACATATTTTTGTATTCCTGATTATGAAATATTCTTCTTATTAGGAAATTTCTGTTCGATGCTTTTAAAAAATGTTTAGAGACAAAATGTGGCTTGCTTTTAAATGTATAGTAGGAAAATAATTTTTACAAATATTATATATTAGCTTTCAAATGTTGAACCTACAATTTAGTTATTTCCTTGAAGTGAATACACTAAACAAGTAACTGTATAGACTAAAAATTTATTAAAATGAGAAGTCTTACAACAGCTGAATATATTTTCTCATCATTTTAAAATATAATACAAAGTATATAATAATAGAAAGTATTATTACTTTTTTATTACTCTAATGAGTATTTCTATTGGACAACAACTGTCAAGTTTAGATATACAAAATAAACAAGGTTGCAGAGGGGCCAAATAATTTAGTCCATCATGTTCACTTGAAGATTGATTTGTATTCTCTATGGAATCCGCCAATATTTTATAGGGAATATCCAGCCTTACAAATCATCAGGATTTTCTTATTCTTTGACAACCTGTCCAATGCTCTACTGGCCCCAAGGCCATTGAGGTAATTTGTAAAGGTAAAAGTTTAGTTATTGATGAAAGTGATGCAGGTTCTTGCTGCTGCAGAAGAGGTGACAAAAGCAAAAGAATGGTTAAGCCATTTTGGAGGAGTAGCCACTTTGGAGGACTAGTGTATGAGAAAGATGCTACATATGTTACGGAAAGATCTTAAATTTTAAAATGCCATCTTTTTGTCCTGCCCTGAAAAATATATGTATATTTTTCAGGGCAGGACAATATATAGCAACCTATAACCATTACTGGAGAACTTCATATTATTTCTTCATGTTTTGAATATTAAATTGGCTAATTTTTCTTTCCTATTTGAAAAACCACCATTGTAAATTCTAGTTTTGATATCAAAGTCTGGTAGCAGCATGCATACCAATTGAAAGGATACCAAGATCCTACTCCTAAGATACACATTCACAGTTTACAAGGACACATGTATTAGGAACCCCATGAAGATGCAATTCTTTGAAAAATAAAATCTTATTACTCAATTTTGCTGATGAAATGCAAGCTTGAATAGAAATCAACTTTTTTTCCTCTATGGCTACATGTTGCCTTTCAGCACTGACAGCTGGGAACAACACTAGAAACTTGTATTACAAAATAAGCAGAGTTGACTGACAACATAAGAACCTTTTAATTTTCCTTTCATTGACTCTGTTGCTACTACCTTAATTAGTCTCCTAGAATGACTCTTGTACCAGTGCA